TATAACCCCTTCCAAGCCTTCCAGAAATTTATTTTGAGCTTAAGGCTACCATCTGGTACGTAATCAATATCGTGCTTGAGCATTACTTGTATCCTACATTAGGATACTTGTACTTGAGGATACTTGTATCCTACATTACAGCACTCTGTTCTTATTAATAGAAAATGCACATGCTGTGAACCTGTGATTTAGTCTCTTATGTTCCTTCCCTCCTTTGGTGGCCTTCCTCTTTGTGCTATATCCACCACTATACCAATAATACCAGTATTTGTAAAGTGCTTGATGTATTAACAGCAGAAAAAAATTGTGATAGGAAAAGGTTTTCTGGGCCTCAAATCATTCGAGCTCTGAATCAGGCTTTTCAGAAACTGACAGCTATTATCCCTGCTGCATACGAGGAAGAGCTGGTTTGTGGGAGGGAGTCACAGCTTTCTCGATGCTCCTAAAAAACAATTGTTAGAAATTAATGTTAGAAAATAAGCTGCTTTATTATAGGCTCATCTGTGCAACCTTTTGAGGAAGTATCTTCTGTTGGGAGTCCAGTCCAGTGCCGATTATTCAGAGCTCTTTGGTAGTCTTGCTATGGATCCATCAACAGTCTCTGTTCTTGGAAATTAGGAAATTTCAGTGTGACCAATAAACCGTGACCATTCTGTTTTCTGATGAGAAATCAAGTGTTACAGAGGGAGAAGACAATAAGTTGATTTTGTAGTTATTTTTTTCCTTTTGCTTGTTAGCTAAGTCTAGTGAGATGTTCTTTGCTCAAATACAGAGTTTGTGCAACTTACTTCATAAGGAAGAGACAAAGAAGAAATAGAGATTAAATTATAAATGGAAGCAAAATAGAACAGAGGGATGGGACAAAGCCTTGTAGTTCAGACAGAATTGTCCCTTCGCTCTTTCAAGGAGGTGGTTTTATTTAATAGGGATAAATGGTCCATGTTAAGTTATACTCGATGCTGTACTATACAGGAGGAATATTGAGGTAAACCTTGTTCAGCAGCGAAACGTGTAATTTCTCTTTACTGTCCCTTCAGGTTTGGAGTTTTGGGAGGGATTTTTGCTTTTGCAACATGCAGTAATGCTGGTATCAACAAAATGTGCCATTTTACTGAAGGCAGATAGGAAGCAAACTTCCTTGAGCCGCCAGCTGTGACTTGTGAATCAGTATTTCAGCTCTGACCTTTTTATGCCTCTTATTTCCATTCCAATTCTTGAGATCTGATGATTAACCCAATGAAGTAATGTTTAATCATTTAACCTTCCTTTGCCTGTATTGTAGCAGTCACAGGAAATCTATTTCCAAACCAAAGAAACAAATCATCTTTGAAAGGGACATAGTGAGCTAAAGTATCCTGAAATGTTACAGCGAATGAATCACATTAGCTGAGAGTCGAGTCCAGTCTAGATACTTTAATTTTGGGGGAAAATGTTTTGTCTGTAAGTAGCTGAACTTTTCTTTACTTTTTTGCTTTTTTCCTTTTAAAGCAGTAAGTTATGGAAGTTGTTTTGCTTTTATTTCAGATGCTTAAAAATAAAATAGAAGAGATTGTTCCCTGTGCAGGCTTTATAACAGAAAAATTATATTGTGAAATAGGTGAAAGTTGTGAAACTGATGGTTGTATTCTCCGAGAAATGAAACTTTTAAGGCTTTATTATTATTATTATTATTGCAGATATTGCAAAGACTTAACAAATGAAAGTTAAGGAAGCAACCAAACAAGTATTTCTGAACTGTTCTTATTAAAGTGAATGTCAAGACTGCAAATACATAGTTTTGATACAACCATGATATCTATATTATTCTGCAAATTATTCATCGCTATGATTACATTCGATCATAGAAAATGGGGGGGGGGGAAATCCTTCATTTCTCTTGGCTGATTTAGAAAGTTTCAGAAAGACAAACCAGAAGTTCTTGTCTGAAATGTTTAGAGCTGTAGCTGTGCTTTCTACATGCAGTTGGTAATAGACAATGAATTAAAAAAAAAGAAAAACTTAAAGAAACAACTGAGAAATAACTTAAAAAAAAAGAAAGTTATGAATTTATAAGGTGAGAAGAATTGCCCCAATGCTGGTTGGGGTGGGTTTTTTGAGAGGCAAGATTCTAATGCTTTTTTCAACACTTTCATCATTGCTTTTATAACAAAAATGGTGGGTTTAGCTGGAGGGGGGAAAAGTAGTTTTAAGGCACCTTTAATTTTGCAGCAGCCAGAAATGGGGGTGAGGGAGGCTTTTTGCTTTTAAGAAATGTGATGAAAAGTGGTGCACTGTGCTTACACTAGGTTAAAACAGTTAATCTAGATGTAAGTATATGATACATTTTATTAAACCAGCTGTGCTGCAAGCATTAGTTTATAGGTCACTTGCTAGAGAGCTTGTTTCCAATTGCAGCTTGTGAAAATTAATACAACAGTGTATTAGCAGTGCAGTCTAAGATGATGGATAGATATGTTAACATTAGAATAGAAACAACTTCCATTGAAATACACCCTGTACATACTTGAATAATTGCATTGTAGTGTTTTATTTTAAAGCTGCTTTACAATGAGATTTATGGAGCTGTGAAAAAAATTTTGTTGGCTTATAAAAGTGAAAAGATTGTTCTAACCCCATGAGCGTTATGAAATGGTGAACAAAATAGGAACTGAAAATATCATGGTTAGATTCAGCTTTGTTGTAGAGTACGGGGGGGGGACATCTTATGAAATTCCTATGTAAGGCACTGCTTTTTCAGTTCACCTTTTCAAAGAGCAAAATCTGATGTAGAAAGGACAGTGTTGCTGCTGGGCTTTAGCACAGTTTTTAATTTTAAGTTAATTTGTAGGTTAATTCTGAAGCAATATTTCTACTTTTTCTATCGGGTTAAGGAATTAGAATACCTGTCATATTCTTAGTGTGCTGCATTTGATTTCCTTTGCTGATAGCTGTGTGGTCACACTCTGCAGAAAAGCCTTGCATCTTTTTCAGTTCTTGTCCTAAATCCTCAGTGGGCCCAACTCTGTATATTAGTGCTGTCCTATATTAATGATCATATATTACCATGTTTCAGTTTTGTTTACTAACTTGAAAATAATGATGAGAGAATATTAGTTTGAGAAGGAACTGCCCTCGATGTTGCAAGATTTTTGGACTTGGTTCACTGGGAAATCACCATGTTTTGTTATTTACCACAATTTGTGTCAAAATGCATTCTTTTATTGAAAAAACATGCAAACTTTTACTTTACTTGTCACGTAGACCTGTTCCAGACCCATTTTTACTAACCTAAATTCAAGCGTTTGGTATCAGCCTCACTAGCAGTAGGTTTTAGTCACTCCTTCGTACTGTGTGTATCCTAGAAGCTGCACAGAAAAATAGCAGGAATAAGTTTTCAAAAAAAGACTGAATATTTCAACTATTCCATTTAGCAGTGAGACATTCACAATGCCAGGGTGTTACTCCTGGGGAAAATTAGCAAGTTCACCCCTTACAGAGTATTCTAAAGGGGTTTTATATTCTCTTATGGTTTAAAATGTCAGACTGTAAGGTGTAGGAAATCTCATTTACTTGGCATTTTTCTTTAAGTTATTTGTTTTAATTTGTTGGGGTTTTTTTTTCAAGCATCAAGTATAATAAATAAAATTATTATTTCAATGTTGTTTTTTTCTTGAAGTTGAGAATTAAACTCTCTTTAAAGCACTGTAATAGGGAACAGTTACTGCTCGAAAAAGGCAGTAAAAAGAGTAAATGTCCTTCGCAGATTTCTGTTTGGTTGGTTGGTTTTTATCTGGCATAGAAAATTGTCAGGTCTGTAGTTCAGAATTTAAATATGCATGACATTGTCAAGCAATTGTCATTACCTGCATTGTCATTGGTGTGTAGTATTGAATGTTTCAATAGAATTGTAACAGTGAAAATGGCCTAAATTAAATTTTTATGAATTTTCTTGGAGTTTTAATCAATAATTAATGATGTTCAAAATTCTACACTATTGAAGTGTGGAACTTACAGTATCGTCAATTACTGTTTAAAGCTATTTCCTTGTGAAATTTTATAGCTTTCTACAAAATGTAAATCAGCGACTTGCTACTGGACAAGAAGCTTTTTATTGCTTATTTGTAGGTTCTGAAAGAGTAATAATTATTTTCTTAATGTTTGCTGTTACCAAAGATAGTGAGCTTTCTGTAACTCCCCTTGTCAAGCCTGGGTAGATAAGACCGACCCTGTTTTTAGTTTTATGGACAGTTTTGCTTCAAAAGGATTTTATTCTTCTATAAATTCACTTAAGCTGCTTGTGAGAATCTTTAGGTTTGCTTTTTAAAATGTTTACTGTGTATTGGGTGAACTTTGAGGGTGAAGTTTGTCATGAGAATAGTTGAAAGTGAGGACCACAAAATAAAAGCAAGCAGCATGTTCTTAGAATGGCTTTGTAAAGAATAGCTCTAGTGTTATAACCTCTGTCACCTTTGTTGCTTTTAAAGGATTTTAGATTTGTCTCTCTGGATTTAATGATTTTTACACTTCTGTTTTAGAGGGTACCGGAAATTAGCTACCTTGATTGAGATCCTGTGTTTCAGAGAAAAGATGGGAGTATATAATGGAATTATTATATTGTCTTTGTGTTTTGAGAAAGTACCTTTTTAACATTGTCAGTTATATTGAAGGAATCCATTCTCTTTGCTTGTTGAAGGAATAAGGTACTAGCAGCCTGGCATTTCAAAGATACAGGGAAATAAATGCTAGAAACCCCATTTCCATATTCGTGTGCTGCTTGCAGAGTTTTGGAGAACAGACCTCAATACGTGTGGGTGCTCAGGTTGTCACAGTGAGCAGTGTGAGTTTCCCTCTCTTCCCTCTAAGCCAAGAGTTTCAAATTGGCCTTTGTGTTTTAAAAAACTTCTCCCAGTTGCTAGTTAACTAATCCCAAAGCATGGAGTATTGATACTGAAAACACAGAGATTTTGAGGTATGTTCATTTTGGGGTTTGCCTCATTAATACCTTATTTTCTTGTTTGCAGGATTTTGCTTCCCGGGCTAAACTGGCTGTCCAGAACCTGGTGCAGAAGGTTGGGTTCTTTGGCATTTTGGCCTGTGCTTCAGTAAGTTCATTTCAGTAACAGAGGGGTTGTAAGTAGAAATTGCAGATCAAAATGGATGCAGTGAACTGTGACTTGGTTTTATTCAAGTCCATATGGATTCTCATGCCTTGTTTGCTATTTCTGTGTTCTCTGTGGTGCTTAGAGAACTGGGATGGTTGTGGTATTGGCAAATACAATAGCATGGAGAAACTCCAGTCCTAGATTAGTACCAAACACAGTGAATTCTGCATAAAACCAGAGCGAACAGTTGTTATCGCTTCCTTCAGCTTCACTGTTGAGCCTCTTGACACTAGTTCTCCTTGGAAGATAATGGGTTTGGAATAGTTCTATTTCCTTTTTAATCCGTCACAAAAGAATGGTGCAGCAAGGGTTGCCTTTTTTTTTTAAAAGACAAGACAATTCATTTTACACATCAACATGGTGTGGTGAAACCTGATAAAAACAGGTCAGTTCACCAAAGATGCAATGGCTTGTCATGGTAAGGAAGACTTACAAGAAGCTGAACTAAGACATTCTTAAAACTGAAGGCATCCCTGTGTTTCTGTTTCAGATCAGGGATGCTCCTGGCATTTGGTGTTGAGGCCACATGCTCTCTGAGAGGGGCACACGCTGCTCATTGTGTTAGTGGCTATTTGGCAGATCAGATCATAGGCCCACTGACAGTTATCCTGTTGGGACCTTCCTAGCCCAGATTATTAGCTGGCAAGATACAGCGGGAGCTGTATTGTTACGTATAAATTCTGCTGGAACATTGCTATAATTTCTTTATGTACTGTGGTGTTCATGTGCTGTAGCTTATAGTGCTTGACACCTTCAAATTCAAAGATATATGCAGCTTGATGAGTGGAAAACTACCTGTGTAAATCCTGATTAGGGTATCCATCCACAGTAATTCCTCTTGAGACTGCTCAGGAGATATCTTTGGGTCATTAGGAACTAGAAAGCAGAACGAGGAAGCAAGTTTCAAAGTCATAACTTGCATGAACTATGAAACACTTGTAGTTTTTTTCCCTCTTTAAGTTAGAGGTCATACAGGCATCTCCACTGATGATATTTGAGTGTTTTGGTTAGGATAACACTATTCCTGAGAGGCAGAAAAATACTGAACCAGTTGAGGCTTAAATCTCAAACTGGAAGCTTAGTGAAGACTGTCAGGAATATGTTCCTTATGCTTCTATCTCACAAAATGTGGGATGTGATGCACAGAAATGTGCTTATAGTGATGGGGGAAGTGTAGGTCCCGTATGATCCCATTCTTCTGGAATAACCACAGCCATTAGCCAGCTGCTCAGCTAATGAGGTATTAATTCCACACTTGTGTAGCACTTCTTACATTGTAATTTCCTAAATTGTAGAAGTGACAGTGCTAACTCTTTGCTCAGATGTAAGTAACCTGTCTTAGCTGGAAAGAATTAATCTCATTAAAGTTGCTGGAACAGAACTTCTGTCTACTCATCTTTTGAACTGTCGTGGAGTGGAAATGTAGGTTACAACCTGTTCTTTAAATCTTTCCAGTCAGTAAGCTCTTAAACTTCTCCTTTGCTGCCTCTGACTCGCTGTTCTCTAGTCACCGTCTTGTGAGACATCACTGCATAGGGTATTCTGCCTGCCTTGTGTAATCACAACAGCTTGTAGATGGCAGGGAGGAGTTTCTGCAGTGGCTGAACAAGGAAAAGTGTGGATAAATGGAGAACGTGAGGAAGGAGCTGGTAAACACGTGAGGTGATGTGTAAACTCTTCCTAGTTCCTGCTTAGTAATACTTAAACATTTGCTTAACTTCTTACCTACTCCCTGCACTGCTCCATGCACTCTAAGCTCCCTTGGGCTTACGTGGGCTGTCCTGGGTTGGGAGCAGGATGAGGAATCACGACTCCACCACAGTACACTTGAGGGTTTGTAAATGTGTTTACAGAAGAACTGCAGAGTAGCAGTGAAAAGGGTGCGGTTGAACATGGCAGAGGCACTGATAAAGCAAAGGGATTCTCAGCTACAGGTTCCTGTTGCATTTGTAGGTGAGGCAGACAGTCCCCCACATGTGCTCCTTGCATTCATGCACCCCCCCCATGAGCTTCAGGGCTTTGTTTCAGGGTTTCTCTTACTTGTTGCTGCTTCTCCATATGCCGGAGGGTGTCTCATTTATTTGCCCCCCTTATAATGGCAGTTGGGTGTATTTTTTATGATTAGAGAGCTTGCTTCTAAAGTGGTAAGGACTGTCCTGCCTGTAGGTTGTTGTCTGTCAAGCAGTGGCTTCTAAATGCTACATAAGAACACAATCAAATTGAATATAAGACTTTGCAAGTTTATCCAGAGAAGTCAACTGAATGTAGTATTGTTTAGTGGCAATAAGAAGGCCATATTACTGGCTGGAGCTTCTTTTCTATGTGAAGGCATCTCTGGGGAAGGGACAAAGCCAGAATTAACCCTGGAAAATGCTTGCTGTGACTTGTGAGAATTTGCCCTCCTGTCTTTGTGGGCTTTTATGGCAACTCTCAGTACTGCATGTACTCCTTTGCTTTCCAAAAACAAAGCGCAAACCTCACTGGCCAGCTAATACACCCCAATGAGGACTTGAGTAACTTTTTACTGTGATATGTTTAGTGTATTGATGATATCCACAGTTACCCCTGCCTAGAGCATGTTGTTCCCACTGTGGTGACAGCAATACAGAAATTAAAATGGACTGTGAACCTGCAAAAAGCCCCTCAAACCATCCAACCAAGAACATGCTTGAGACCTAGAGCAGACTTGGCTCAGAAGAGCAGAATTATGTGGCCGTGGTATAAGTAAATAATTTACTAGCCTTCTATGCCTAAGACAGCTGTCACAGGTTAAGAATCATGTTGGTTGAAGTGGAGCATGTTTAGAGACCGTTTCGGGGCATGATTAGAGACTGTTTCAGATTTCTTCCTATGCAGGTGGTGATGTGGATGCTCATAAATTTGGATTGCTGGTCTGTAACAGCTACATATAACCCTCATAAGCTTTCTCAGAGATTTCAGATTTCCATTCAGTCAAAGTTAATATGTTTTATGGTCTTTAACAACCTATACTCTTCTTTGTTTGTGTAACAAACCAACACAAATACTGCCGAATATTAGCCCAGTAATGCACTGCTACTGTGAATTACACATACCCCATCTCAGACAGACTGCCCTTGAACTGCATGCTAAGTGTAAAAGGTTGGAATCTGGATACTTTCTCGGTTTAATTTCAGGAATATTTTACAGATAGTATCACGATACCAAACATCAAGCCAACAGTTTAAAACATACTTTAAAATTAAATGAAGTGCATATGCTTAATAAAATCTAATCAGTGCTTTTAAACTGGATACATATGACTACGAATGCCACATTTTAATGCAGTTTCTCAGATGGAAGTCACTGGGGATCACTTTAAACACTGGCCTCCAAGAGTGATGTGCTTGTCAGTGAGAAAATTTGATAAATCACTCAGAGTGGCTTTAGTGTGGTTTCTGTGCATTTCACATGGAAAACTTTTTGTTAGCTTTTTTAAAATCCAGGGGTAAGGAGGGACCATGAGAATGGAATTGTCTGGGATATTGTCTAGCGGAATCCCAGAGACTTGAGTTATGTGGTGCGACATTAACATTTTTGTAAGTATTAAGACACAAGAGTTTTTTGGATCAAGTTGGATAAGGGAAAATGTTCATTTTTCAGAGTTTCAAAGTCTGTCGTGTTCCTGTTCATCTGAATGCGTGCTGCAATTCACAGACTTCTCTCCCTTGCACCTCATAGATTCCAAACCCTCTGTTTGACCTGGCTGGGATAACATGTGGACACTTTCTGGTTCCCTTCTGGACCTTCTTTGGTGCAACCTTGATTGGGAAAGCAGTAATTAAAATGCACATCCAGGCAAGTACTACACCTCCCTCAGGGCTCTGGGGTGAGGACTTGTTTCTTTTCTGGCTGTTACACCGTGTTGGTAATGAATTCTGGGGTCTCCCTTCCTGACCTGAAGTAATGGAAATTAGTTTGGTGCAAAGGATTTACAATAAAGGATCTGCTCGCCTTCTTATGCTCAAAACTGAATAATTTATAGCTACAAACTAATGAGCTCGCTGCCTACACCGCTCAGGAAATTGGTGGTTAGCCAAGTTATTTACCTACGGTTTTTACCAGACTGAAAGGACTTCATACTCATAATGAACTTGCCTTTTTGGTAACAAATACTCATTTCAAAGAGCACTGCAGCTACCCCTCACCGGTTAAGTGGTCCTTTTAAGTGCTTCCTTCTATTTCAGTTGAGTGTGTATGGAAACCCTATTTCTTTCAGGCCCTGCAGAAAGCAGTCTTGAGTCTCTGGGCATATCATCCAGAGCTTTTAAGCATGGTTAGCAATACTTGGTGTCCTCAGACTATATATTGAAAGGGCCTGATTTCAGAGCATGTCCAGTTTTTCTTGCTAACTTGGAGCCTTATTGGATGTTCTGAATTTAGCAACCAGAATCTCCATTTGCTTTCAAAAATGTTGAGTCTCTCTTTTAAAATATGTCACCATTTTGTGCAATGAAAGATGAAGTGTTGATTCCCTGGTGTGGTTAGCTCTATATCATGAACTACAGTGCTCCATTTGTAATGATTACAACCAATGTTTTCAGCTGGGACTTGATTTGGGTGTTTTTAAGCATCTGCTTAGGACTGGTGCAGTGTCTGTAGCTGTGTTGCTTGGAAATCTGTGCTGTTGCTACATTGAAAATAGCAGAAGCTATTAGTGTTATAAAATTACTCATCTAGTACCCTCCTCAAGCTGCTTAAAAATCTTCCTTTTGCCCTGAACGTAATTCAATTTTCAACCTTCTTTTTTTTTTCCTATTTTTCTTGTAAATGGTTATTTTGCTTTGTCCAGTCCTTAAGAGAGGAAACAACAAACAGATCTGAAAATTCTCTCATGTGCTATTAGCAAAACTTTCCCCTCACGCTTACTTTGTGTTATCTGAATTTTTCTGCTTTTAAATCTATGTACTGTTAGAAATGGTTCTGGCAACATAGGAAAGTGAAACAGTATTTGTGTAATATTCTGTTTATGTTGCCTTGTTTAGCTAGCAGAATGTTTGCTATGTAATTTATAGTAATCCCCACTCACATCAAATGCAAGTGAAAAAATATTTCCCAGTGTCTTGTACAGTTGGTAAGCCATCTTATTTTGTAATACATTTAGCTATTAGGAGTCTCTTTTCTGCGATGCTTAATTTCAAGCATACTCTTGTGCAATAGCCTTGATTTTGTAGTGATCTTGCTGCAATCTGGAATTTAGGAAATGTAAGAGTCATGGAAAAGGCTTCTAATGAATCTTTCTCTAGACAGGAAGCGAGTGACTCGGGTGCAGTGGCCATCCCAGAGCTGCTTTTAACTGGCCTCTTCCTCCACAAAATCATTTTGTGTAGTCCCAGTCACATCCCTTATTTCCAGACTGGTGAATGCAGTTCTCGTTAGATCATGTTTAAATGGGTTTAAGGAGACTGTGGGAACCATTTGTGTGTGTGCATACTCATCTGCGCACAGTCTTGCTCACTCTTTGCAAAAGAACAAGCTGTCAAGTATGCCAAAAGTGGAATTTGCAGAGGCTATTTTAACAAAATTTGAACTCAGAAGAGAAGGGAGTGGTAAAATTACAGACACTGGGATTTTCTGCAAAATAAGCTGTGTCACAGAAGTTTTATTAGAACTGCTCCATTCCCAATAGGCTGATGCATTAAAGACTGACATTCTAAGGGTTTTGGACAGACAGGTACCCTGTGGCTCTTAATGTGGTCTTCACTAAGTAGTTTTTGGTTTTGTCTCTGCCTGAAGCACACAAACCAGGGGACTAAAAGATCTATTATTTTTCCCTTCCGCGATCTTTAAGTACGTGTGTTTGTGTAAGGGGATGTGAATTTTTCTGCACAGTGATGACTGTTTTTCCATTAAAACATTGTTGACGGAGTAAAATGACCTTGAGCTTCTGGGAATCGAAGTTTGGGGAGGATGCGAATGGTTAGTAACACAGGCTTACACAAACACTGCAAGAAATGAAGCTTAGGAGGGAACAGAATTATAAAGAGGCTTTTGCTCTCCTGCCTCTGTTTGAAGAGTGTATTGAAAAATAAAGATCTTGAAAAGGGAAGGGAAAACTGTGTGTGAGTGCTGGAGGAGCTGTCTGGCTGGAAAGGAACCTAAATTGTCATACCCCATTGTCTGTGCTTCCCTTTTGATCAAATGTTTCTCTTAACTGATGTTTTCCTTCCTACAGAAACTTTTCGTTATTATAACATTCAGCAAACATATAGTGGAGCAGATGGTGTCCCTAATCGGGTGAGTAATTCTTTAACATTCATTAAGTGGAAAAATACTGGAGATGTGCTGAAAATTGCGCTTTGCTTCGAAGTGCAGGCTTTGGCCAACACGTTATTTTAGGTCTTCCTTGCAGCTTCATTCCTCGCCTCAAAGGCTTCAGGTACTTTAAGAAACATAATAGCACCGAAGGTCAGATGGCCTGAGTATACAGCACCAACAGTTAACCTTCATCCCGAAATGTGATACCACTTTTCCAGTTACATAGATCGCCACACTTTTAGCTTCAAACAGGCTGATTTTTAAGGGCTTTCTTCAATGTTGTAGTGTGATCCTGTGACAAAAATCGAAGGAACTGCTGTGTTTTATGCAGTGTCTCAAGGTGACAATAAACATTTTCCATAGTTTAAACTACCCGATACATTTAAAATATTGAATCTCATAAAACACCAGAATGAGAAATTTGCTGTGTAGTTTTATCTCCATTCTCCTGGGGTTCTGGGGAGGAGAAATGACAGTTTTCATGGGTGAACTGTTCAGATTCTGAGAAAGTTTGAGGATTTTTTGTTGGTTTTGGTTTTTTGTAGGTTTTTTCTTTGGACTGAGTTCTTCAGTAATTGATTCCTGGTTTATATTTGAAGTTAAAATCTCAGTTTAAAACAAGAAAGCTAAGCAAAAGCACTAGCGAGGAAGAGTTAGTGTGTGGGGGGAGGACAGTTAACATACTTCCATCTTGCCTCAGTGGGTTTAAATGGAGATTGGACACCAATGATGGAATGTTAGATTTTTTTGCTTCATACCTATCTGTTCGGTCATTAAGTTCATTGGGATTTTAAAATCCATTGTTGGTATTAACAGTTCCTGCCTGGTAATCCAGCAAATGACATCGCAACAGCACCTCTCTAAATATGTAGATGTTTCATAAACTGCTTGAATGCAAACAAAGTATGCAGCTTAATTTAAACGTAGGCAACTAGATCAGATCACATGGATTGCATCAAAAATTCATGCTTAATTGCTTAAAGGAAAAATTGTCTTCTTGGGGTGGGGGGAAGGTACTGCCTGTTTTCAACACACCGATCAGCTTCAAGTCAGGGATGCAGGTTTAAAGTTTCAGATGAGAGTCTCTAACATTTAAATAGCTTTATTGTTGTGGGTTGGGGTTTTTCTTCGTTTTCTGTGGTTTTGTTTTTAACTAGGTTCATAGAATTGATCCATAGGATAAATTCTAAGGTGTTTTCTGTTTTTGCAAGGTCTTTTACTCATTTTATGCTGTGAATTGATGGACACTTTGCTACACAAACTGTAATAACTGTTTTCAGGTAAAATCCAAAAAGCCACACTCCGCAAGAACAGTTTCAGAGGAGGAATGTCTGGAAATGATTCCTTTTAAAATACGTAAACCTGAAGTAGTAATGCTAGACAAAGAAAAAGGAATGTCACACAGAACATTCTAGGGCCTTTCAGTAATGAAACAAATCCTGACATTATTACTTCCTGATCTTCTGATTGCGTGTCTGGTGTGTACCAAACCTCAAAATGAATTTGCTGCTTTGAACATTATTTAGAGGAAATAAGAGAGAAAAGTGTGGTTACTTTGAACCATCATTAGTCAGTTATCAATCACAGGAGACGCTTTACTGCTGACTTTTGATCTGTTACTAGGTCAGGTATGTTTCCAAAGATTTACTCTCCTGCGAATCTTCGAGCCAAAACTAGTAGTTTTTTCCAGCTTCATCTGTCATGGAGATAATTTTGCATTGAATTACTTTGAATGCATTCACAAGGCCTCTGCTGGATTCAGATTTTATTGGATGGCTGATGTCAGAGTTAAAAAATGTTCTCGGGAGACAGCAAGTTTTTGGAATGTCCCGGTATCCTTGACTTTTGTCAAGCTGTCTGCTAGCATTACCTCATCAGCTCCTTTTAGAGTGGAGTATAAAACATGCTCAACAATAGCCTGCATTAAATCCCTTATTATTAAATTAAAATGCAGTTTAGTTTAATGGTCGGTAACTTTATTTTAGTCAAATTCTACCCGACACAATGGCTTAAGACTTTTTTTGCCTGGGATGTTGCTCTTTCACCAGGAAATGTTTAAGCACAATACGTTAAAATAATGGACGTATTAATACACAGAATAACTAAAATCCAGACAGAAGATTCAGTTATGAGGTAAAGGCTGAGAATATTTGATTTTAAAAGCCAGAGAGAATGTCTCTAACTCCACAAGTCTTGGTCAGAAAGCAGAAATGATTCACCTGTGGACCTTGCCCATAGCCCAGATGTTGTTTACTTCTGTTAGTGGATGCTGCTGGCGCTGCACACCCAGCCTGCTGCAACAATGCTTTTAAAATGTAATTTAGGGTGATCTGATTGCACAATTTTGTCTAGATCTCCATTACAAAAGAATCTTAAAATACTCCTCATATTAATTAAGAGAAGAAAGAGGAAAAGAAAATGTGGCAGGAAATTAAGGAGCTGTTTGCAGAAACATTTGCAAAACACTGCTGGTAGCCAGTGTTTGAAAGAAAAGGTGAGAAGGACGGGAGGTGCAGCAAACCTTGTGGGAAGGGACAAGGAGACGTGTATGGGGTTAGGAACCTGAGCACAAGTCTTGAAATCAAAGCTGAGGATTACAAATATACATGTGGCTCGTGATGATCAACCTATTCTGGCAGTTAATAGTTTACAGTGGTATTGTTGCTGTCGAGAATGCTAGTAGAGGATAACGTTTCCCCTCAGGTTTTGTTGTGTTCATAAGCTTTGGTGAAGAAAGATGGTGTGTCAGTTTTGTCTTGTGTTCCGTCACTTGCACAAGAGTTCAACTTGCTGATCATCCGTGTAAAATGCTGGGCTTAGGCCAAACCTAGGCCAGTTAAAATGTTTCATTAGCATGTGTGTTGTGGGGTTTATTTTGGCTCCTAAGTCTTTCCATTTATTGGTTTTTTACCTGCAGCTGCAGGATTGTTTATGAAGTCACACTAAGCACGTTGCTTTTAATCGCAGTCATGTTTTCTTGGAAGTGGCAGTTGCAAACATGGATTAAGAATTCCCAGGAAAAACTGTTCTCAAAGCACACACCATCCTCAGAAATGCCTGCCATCAATTCTGGTGGAATGTCGGGAAGGAAAACAATCTCACTTTCATTTAGTTAGTTCAGCATGCCTGTAATGCATGTTTGTATTTTGTGACAGTGAGTTAATAACCTTAGAACTTCAACAGACCTAAATGTGCTTTATATAGCATTAGGCAACACGTGGCCTTCGCCTCAGAAGCATCTGAACTTCAGTGGCAAGTGGTGCAGCTGCATCCCTTGGACATTCCCCCTGTACCTTAACAATAAACTCCTGTAGGCTGCAGAATGCCTTAATTGCAGGCTGTGAGAGTTACTCAGAGGGAGGCTGAACACTGAGAAGTGCTCATGTGATACACCAGGTATGCGAGCTCCTAAACAAAAGGAGTGAATGACTGACTGCCTGTAGGAAATGTGCCTCATTTGAAGAGCAGCAGAAACTGATGTGTTCAGTTAGTGAGCTGAGTCAGTAAACTGATTTGAAGTTTAAATAGAAACAAGTGAAATGCATGAAACAAAACCTTTGCATGCTTCCACGTAGTTCAGAAGTGAAGCTGTTAATGCTGTGATCCGTGTGTGAGATGTGTCATAACACTGTGAAGTGTCACTCAGCAACCTCCCCCAGAATATCACTGCTTCTGAAGGGCTTCTTAACCCCCTGGCTTTTGTAGAGCAAATGTTCATGCTTAATGGCTATGCAGGCTGGGTTGAATGATTGCACATCTTAAAGGAAAACCAGCTTTTTGGTTACGGGGACTTGAATCGCTGCCTTGACAAACCAGTTTGCTGCTATTTATTGTGCCATAATTCTTTGCTTCACAACTTAATCTCAGTTGACTCTTGTAAGGAGCATGATGTTCCTTTCACAGAAAAAAGTACAAATTAAATGATGGTGACTGAGGTAACTGAGAGTTTGCTTAACAATTGTGTATGCTTTTCAAGGCTAGTTTACAATGTAGGCTTAGATTGCTACTTGGAATACAAGCCAGGAATCTGCAAGGATAGAAAGGGCACCAGGAATCAGTTGTCTGGAGTGGGATGAGCCCTTTTGTGGGTTTGCATTATACGTGGGGCTTGGGGGGGCTTTCAGCAGGGGTTGACTGCATCGCATGGCCAGTGCCCATCTTCACTGCCTCATGTCCTCTGGGCATACCCCCTGTAAAGGAGCCGGGCCCCATCTGCCACTCCTTCCTTCTGACTGGGAGGCCCTTTGTTTTGCATGTGTGCCACTCCATATCCTGTTAACTGGCCTCGTCAGTAAAGGAGTTCTGATCAGCATTCAAAATAAAACCTGTGGATTAGAATCCAACCACGAGTAACCTGAAGTGTTGAGAACATGGATAACTGAGCAGTGAGCGTAGAATCCCGAGAGAGAGCTGCTTCTGGAAGGTTATCCCCATGCACCTGACATTTCTTGGTGCAGTAAATCAACAGCTTTCTTCCCACAAGTATATCAGAAACCTGTGGGACTGTGCCCTCATAATAACACCCTCTACACAATGGATTCGGTCTGCACAAAAAAGGCTTTAGAGCCCTGAAAGGAACGCAGATGTGGATGAAATCTGAGTAGCTTTGGTGTTGAAAACCTTCCAGTGGATCACAACAGAATTATAAGGGTTTATTTGCAGAAGGCCTGTAGGTTTTAACTCCGAGCAAGCAAACCTTTTCTATTATGAATCGTGTTCAAAACTACATCTTTAGAACGCAAACAGAAGTTTCCTTACAAAGAGCCATACTGAGCAGAGCTGAACCAGCAGTTCAGAGATGTTGCAATTCCTATTTTTGAAAGCCTTGATTTTAACATAACAGAATGTCCCAGAGAAAAAAACCAACAGTTTTGCAGACAGCTTGGTTAACGTGGGTATTGGAGCATAGCTCAAGGTAAAAATGACGTCAAACATGTAACAATTTTAGCTTAGTAATCTTCAAATGAGACATTTTCTTT